TTAAAATATAAATGAGGATTTTATAAAAACCAAAAAACTTGTTGTATCGTTATTGAAGAAAATCACAAGATTGATTAGTTTCATACGGTAGTTGTTAACAGTCTGCTTTATGACCAATCGAGTATTTTTCTTCTGAATATTTCGACAGAGTTTTTGCAGACTTGCCGCTGCGATCATCTTCTTCCTAGCTTTCATAAATGCAGTTGAATGCGAAGAACCAGGTCTCAATGCTACAGGGTCTGCAGTTGCGCATCACAAAGTTAGTATAAAAACTTCTCTGAAAACTTATTTTCCTTTTAACCTATACATTCTTTTCCATCATTACCTGTAATTCATTTTATATCAGAAATATAACACTTGTTTACTTATTACTGTCCATCTGTGCTTCACGTAACACCATTAACCGTCAAAATACAGATTTTGATTTCAGGTTCGTCATAGGCATCACCGGGTTCGTCAGACTCAAAAACGAAGAAGTGTCAGCGATGAAAAAACGACAAGGAACAGTAGTTCAGTTCAAAAACGACACAAAAAACATATGATGTTAACAAAACCATATTGGCCGTGGCCTTAAATTTGCAGAATTTTTCGTGTGAATATTTCTTTAAATTCTGGCTTTTTAAGTAAGGCCCGCCGTCCAGTAAAATTAGTCAAACCATTGGTAAAGTAATAGAAATTGTTTAGCTAGACATCTTTTTAGTCACTTGCCTTTTCTTAAAATGTAATTCAAATACATCTGTGGCATAGTGCTAAAGTTAACAGAAAGTTTTTAAGCCAAATGACGAACTTTTCTTGAATATAACGACTCATAACGATCCTAGGGTTGTTCCGGCCTAAATGCAAATATGCTCCGCACAGCATAACCTTCCTGGGTGAAAAAATGAACTTATATGATAACCATTCGGTAATCTAAAAGAAGCCTGCAAAAAATAAGTTTAGAAACCAAAGAATACCTTTTTCTAGTCATGTTTACCAAATCTTGATTGAGGAGTGCCTTCTTCGTCTGTTTTTAAACCTCTACCTAGGCTCATTGTCAAAAAAAAAGCGAAAATTCGCGCCTAATTTTACTTTCAGTTAGAAAGAAAAATAAATTTCAGATGTAAACTTAACGCACTGCTACTGGAGTCGAAAGGTAGAAACTTAACCTTCCAACAACAGACACTTTTCTTCTGGCTTCTGCAGACCTGCTGTTAACGATTGCCTGGAAGCGACGCAGTAGGATTATACGGCCAATCTGGTGCCCCAGAATCATGCTAGGTTCCCAGAAATAAATAAAAATTAGACGCCAGTAAATATATACTACAAGGGAAATAATCATTTATTTGCTCAAGTATATTTGTTCCGCTAATTTATAATTTGGGTCTTTCTCAAGGTTGTTCGCTTCAAATCCTATTTACCCCTACTAACATTTGTTTAAGAGGCTTCTAGACGCACGAGCTTAACTCGATATAGGGAGAATTGATACACGAACCCAAAGGCTAGCCACAATTGCGTATTGATAGATTTGGTCTTTTTCTAAAATCTAGCTCTTACATTTTACTGAACAGTAAAAACGGGTTTTTGGAAATTAATAACAGCGACAAAATTAGAAGAAGCTTGTAATGATCGACATTTTCCCTCAATCATTGCTCATGCTGAAGTGCTAATAATAGTGGAGTATCATCACAGAGCTACTGGTTAATATCTAAAAGTCTTGCATTTTTTGTTAAATGTTACTCCCATAAGTGTATTAATTTTGACGTCATATCTATTCGCTTTGTATTATCTTAATCACAATTTTCTTTGCCCAAGTATCATGTAACGGATTATTTACAGACTCAGAATTTAATTTTTGGAAGCTCTTCATTTATTCCTCGGTACAGTTCTGTTGTCTGTCACTAATTTACTAAAAAAATATTTAGGTCTTTGTCAAACAGCAGATGAGTGAATAGTCTCACTTACGTGATACTTTGCCAGATCTCTGTTCCATTCATAAACGAGTCTTCCTGTTGTACTTACAGCGGTATAAAATTTAAAGAAAACATCTTTCTTTTAACATTACAGTCAACATTTTACTTCTCGTATACTATTCATATAATGAGAATTCAAGCGCTATTCATTAAGTTTGCTGGGCAGTTTGTAAAACAAGTTACTATGAGAATGAAAATCAGAAAAAAAAAAAACAGGCGAGAGAAAACGAATTTGACAGTTTTTGCTTATCACTTCTTGGTTGTTTAAAGAAATTGCTCCCTCAGTGGATTTTAAAGTGATTTCACTAGACTGTAAATTTTTGACGATCACTCTAGACCTAGTGAACTTTATATTGAACCCAACAGCAGGTTAATCGTGGCAATGCGTGCGACATACTAAGACGATTCGCCTGTCTAAAAAAATAACTTTAAAATGCTTATTATCTTACTCAGATTAAATTACTGTACCTTTTCTCGACATTATAATAAAAAATACTCATGGATCAGTACTGTTATATTTCTTCATCTCACTTAATTTAAGAAGTAATTAATTATTACATTCAAGTTTTCAAAAGATGATAAAACTCAAAAATTGCTTCCAACTTTTTCATGTCAACACTGCGGCACACAACTCTATAGAGCTGCAAGTCTTATTCTGAAGAAAATTTTTTGAGAGCTGTATTACAAAACATGACTGATGTTAGCTTAGAGAGTACGAAAACTTATAATTGAAGATTTCAACCCAGCGTTGCTGTCAGCCACAAGTGAAAAAATTACCCACTTCTCTCCAGTAAAGAAAAAATGAGAAGAAAATAAAGGAAAATAAATTCTGACAGTAAAAGAGAGAAAATTAAAGAATATGGAAGAAAAAAAGAGGAAACCAAGATTTTCCAATTGCTTTACAGACACTTCAGATGGCCTAATCTGTGAACCCACGTCTAGCTTTAAAACAAAAATTTTTTTAAAGTCCTCTTTCGCTTTACACAGAAAATTCTCGAGATACTGGCATGTTAAAAGTTATTTAGTGATTTACTCCGTTCCTTTCACATTTCTCTATGAAAAACTGATAATTTTATAGACAGCAGATATGCCCGCGCACTTGCTTTGATGGCGAATCGCGTTTTAGTTGGATTCCATTGAATTTTTAGAAGTGTTTTCCAAGAGTATTTCTGAAGGGTTTATGTTTCTTGAAAAAAAAAAAAAAAATTTTTTTTGGGGTCATGGCCGTACTTACTGGCTACGAAGATTTCAGTGAGACCCGATAAACCATTAAAGAAACTAAATTTAACATGTTAAGGGCTATGTGCATGATCTGTAACGCAAAGCCGGATACAGCCTCAGTCCATTGTCAGACAATGAAAAAAGCGCTCTTAGTCAAAAGCATTTTTAGAAACTCCAGTACACTTTGCTTTCATTTTTAGATTGCTCTGCCACATGCGCGCAACCCATTTCTTGCTCCTCTTGGAATTGCTACCAAAGTAGCAATGTGCCACTGAGAAAATCATAAATCCCACAGCCCTACTCATTGCCAACAATTTGCTTACACTTGATAGCACTCTTATAAGTTTGTAACCTATGATCTCCTGAACTGCAAATTGCTAAATCTTAAACTGGAAGTTTACGAAAATTGCAGAGGAATAGTCACTACTTTGAAATTGCTTTTACAAATTAAAATCAATTAAGGTTTACTTAACCTCCACTAGAGAAACAAGAACGTGAAATGGAGCATCACAGCACATGAAGTAAAACCCGAGAAAGTGTTCTCTGCTAATAAATCAAAAGATCAAATTTTCCACTGATATACGCCAAATTATGGCAGTATAGGCGGGAACCAGATCACAAAATCATTGTTAATCCCAGCAGAGAATAGTGCCCACCACTAAAGAGGCAAATTCAGGTGACCACTGAGACATTGTAAGTGACATCACTTCAGAGACAGCTTTTTTGTTTGCACGGTTACTGTTGTCGGTTTTCTGCTTCATTTTGTGGACGTTGATGCGCCTTTTCTTGATCATCCTTCATTCATATCACTAAAAATACGTGTTTCTGATGCCGCTGTCGTTATAACTATTGTCATTACTATACTACTATCAGTATTGTGATTTTTACTGTTGTAGTAACTATTATTATTATTATCATTATCATTATTATTATTATTATT